GAGAATCTGTTTCCTTGCCAATTCCAGCATCTAGAGGCCATTGGTGCTGTTTGGTTCATGGCCCCTTCCTCTATCTTCAAAGTCAGCTGCAGAGCATCGTCTCCTTTCTGATCACTACTTTGGTCCTTACATCTGTATCTGTCTGAGCCTCCTGCCTCCCTCTTATTAGGACCCTCACGAAAAAAGTGGGCCACCTGGATAATCTAGGATAACCTCCCCATTTCAAGGTCCTTAATTTAAGCACATTTACAAAGTCCCTTGGCCTGTCAGAGCAGCGCCGGTGACCTCCAGGTTTCCAGGACAGAGGGAAAACCTTGGTGTCATGTTCAGGAGGATGCTATGTCCTTGTTGATGGGATCCTGGCATTGAAGATGGCACAACACGGTAGGAATGCCTTCCCTGATTTAGGTCTGAGTCAGGTGAGGTGGTGTCTTGAGGAGAGAGGTCTTAAGTTTCTCTAGGAAGCCAGAAAGGTTGGTTCATATCTCTGGAAGGCCTCGTCTATTGAACGTTTGGGACAAAACCAAAGAGAGAAGGTGGCTATCTGAAAAGGATGGTTTATGGTTGGCGACAGTCACTCATTCTCTCATTCATCCCACACGCATTTGCTGAGCCCCTGTGTGCTAGGCACCAGGCAGGAGTTGAGGGGACCTAGGTGAGTAAGAAACCACCCTATAGGAATTCATCTTCTACTTGGGGAAGAGCGAAATGGGACCAAATCAGTGATGGTTCTGTGGCTGACAAAAAGAAGAAAGTGATCAAATGTGGAGCAGTTACATCAGCAGGCGGGAGAGGGAGGCACAAGGTAAAGACTCCCAGGAGAAATCCTTGATGGCAGGAGGAGGGCGTTTCAGGTGGTCGGAACAGCACTGGCAGAAGCCAGGAAAAAGGAAGTGGCAAGTTGTATTTGAGGAGCGGGATGAAATGCTGTCTGAATGACTGTAAAGTGCGAGTACACCCAAGTGGGGGCCGGGGCCAGGAGTGGGATCTGTTTGCCTCGTCTGCAGTTTAATGATAAATTCCGAGAAGGCCGTATGCCCGCCTTCTCAACTCATTAAATCCTTCAGCAGCAATTATTGCTCACTCTGTGGACTTCCATTAAATGCTTATTGATGAGAAGCCTTTCCCAATAGCAAAAGTCTCCCACACTGGCTCCGTCTCGCTAGATATTATTAGATGATAGGGCAGATGAGTCACTTTTATGGCATGCATCTGGCCTTGTGTCTGATGAGACTTGCACTCGAATTGGAGCCTGGTTTATTCTCCCGGTGGACCCCTCGGGTGAGTCCCTTTCAACCCTATCCTTGTATTTCTCTAGGTTTGGGCTTGGGAGGGGGTTTAGTGGAAGCAAGCTAGGGTATACAAATGACGTGGGTACACTGACCTCGTTCTTGAGCCTGGGACCGTGCGCTCGCTGCCTGCTCTGCCTGAGATGCTGCTCAGATGGGGTAAGCGACCGTTAGAGTGTTAGAGTGTGGCTCCGTGTGCCCACAGCACGGAAAGAAAAGGGCACTTATTAAATGTCATTTATTCCTCTTCCCAACATCACACTCCATTGCCATTGATGCCACCGTTCAAACAAATGTTCTAATTTACAGTTTTCTGGGAACTTTTGGAAAAATGGAGCAAAGCCCCAGGTTACCTGAAACGCTGTAGTTACAGTTTCTAAGGGCCCTAAAAAAATTATGTTTTGTCAAAATGAAGTAGAATTTTGAAAGGGCTTCATAATAGTTGTGAAAAACAGCCAGCCTCTTCAGATACACTCATCATAAGGCTGCTCTTGTGAATAGCTCAGCACACTCTGCAAATAATATCTCAGGAAATTATCCAACCTTCCTGGGAAGAAGCTGGCAGCAGCAGCTTGCAGGCTGCTTTCTCATACAGTAGGGGGTGTTCCTGTTGCCTCAAAAGAAGCTGCAAGTAACGACAGCCCACCCAGGTTGAGGGTGTTTTATCTTCACGTTGTAACTAACAATACCTCCAGAACATCTTCCCTAAATTAGGGGGTGCATTGGGCCTTCTCACCACTAGGATGCGGGCCCACTCTCCAGCCGCCCTGAAAGTTCCCTTCCAGTCTTCACTGAGCCCTACTCTGGGCCCAGCTCTGTGCTTGAAGCCAAGATTCAGAGGTGAAGGAAACACCACTCCTGCTCTTAAGGGGCTCACTGTCTGGCAAGTAGGAAAGACACAGGAGCAGGTTTTTGCAACAGGATGGTATGTGATTTGCTAAAGGTAGATGAGAAATCAGTTAACCCAAGCTAGGTGTCAGCAAAGCCTTCCCGACAGCCCTCTACACCATCAACTCCCTGACAGTTGTATCCCCAACTCTGTGACAGGACACTGTGGCTTAGCTAATCTTCTTGCCAACTCTTTTTTCTTGCTGATTCCCACTGGAGAAGCTGAAAAGCTAAACACTTGCTTTTCCAGCCTCCCTTGTAGCTAGAGTGGCCATGTGACCTAGTTCTAGCAAACGAGACAGAAGCAAAATCTACAGGGGGGGTTCTGAAAAAGCTCTTGTATTCTTGACTAAAAGGGACAGCCAGTCTACCCTAGCACCTTGAGCCTTCTTCTTGGCCTTGGTTGTATTCATGGTGGCTGTAGCTACAGCAGCAATCTTGTGATCATGAGGCAAAAGCTGGGAGAATTGCAGGCCATTGTTGAGCTGTGATCCAATGCGAGAAGGGCCAACTTCTAGACTTTTTGTCATATGAGAAACAACCTCTATTTGTTAAAGCCATTGAGGTTCGGCTTCTAGGACTTGCCACCGGACACATCCCTAACTAATAACAGTCACCTAGCAGGCAGTCCAGAAATAGTGATGGGAGTCATAAATACTGTGATGGCCTGAGATGGACCTTAACAGATTGAGGTGTGCTAGGGGTGTCCCAGTTGGAGGGAACTGAAATAGCATGTATGAGAGCTTGAAGCAGAAAGTCATGAGGAGCTCACCAAGCAACCACTAACAAGTAGTTCATCATTGCTGAAGTATGGGGCAGGCACTGGTTGGGTACAGCCCAGAGAAGCAGACAACAGGAGCCAGATTAGAGCAGTTCCCTTAGGTACAAAGAGAGTCCTGGGTTCCAGTGACCGAGAACTCTCCATGTTCCCCCTGGAACTGCAGAATTACAGTCAAGGCCACCACAGCAAGAGGCATAAAAGGAAGTGAATGCATGCCTTCTGTTGGTCACTGTATTAGTCAGCTGTTGCTGCATAACAAATTGCCCTCAAATTTAGCATGTTAAAACAACACACATTTTTGATCGCACTGTTTCTATGGGTCAGGAAGAGTGTGGCTACCTGGGTCTCCTGACTCAGAGTCTCTTACAGGATGTTCACAGGGCTACAGTCTCACCTGAAGACTTGGCCCAGGAAGGTTCCATTTCCACATTCACACGCACATGGTTATTGGCAGGACTCGGTTCCTCGTGGGCTGTTGGCACCAGAGGTCTCCTTCAGCTCTTTGCCCTGTCGGTCTCTCCATGAGGCAACTCACAACAGGGCAGCTGACTTCATCAGAGTGGGCAAGCGAGAAAGTAGAAAGGGAAAGCCAAGGTCTTTTTGTAATCTTCTCACAGAAATGGACTTCCACTCCGTTGCTATATTTTACTCATTAGAAGCAAGTTACTAGGCCCAGCACATACTCAAGGGGAGGGGACTACAGATGACTATTAGGAGGTGAGCATCATGGGAGCCATTTTGGAAGCTGCCAACCACAAGCACACACCGTCTCCTTTCTCCTTCTTCCCCCTTGTCATGGTCAGCGGCAGCAGCAGCATCTTTTTCGTCATTGTCATCGTCATCACCACAGCCACAGGGACTGTTCATTAAACACTTCTTATGCACCAGGCATTTTCCATACATAGCTCATTGACCCTCACAACAACCCTATAAAAGTAATATGATCCCCTTCTTGCATGTTAGGAGCTGAAGTTCAGAAAGGGACTGTGATTTGCCCTGCATCACACAGCCAGCAAGAGGTAGCATTAGAAGCTGAACCGAGGCTTAACTCCAGCGGAGCTTTCACCACCACTCCAGGAGGCAGCATCTCAGAGGCAGGAGCACCATGCCTGCCAGCCAGGATCCCAGGCTGTTTTCTGCTTTCCCTTCACCCCACTGGTGATAAAAGCCCAACGGTGTGGGGACATGAGGGTGGGTTAGGCCCTCTCAGAATGTTTGGGCCTCAGGTAAAGGATAACAGGTAAAACCAGAAAAGATCTGTAGATTAGATAACAGTCCTGTAACAATATTAATTTTCTGATTTTAATCATTTCTGTGCAGTTATATAAGAAAATGTCTTTGTTCTTAGGAAATACATACTGAAATATTTAGTGGTAAAACGGTATTATATCTATAACTTACTCTCAAACGTTTCAGAAGATAATTATTTATAGGTATGAGTGTGTGTGTGGAGAGAGAGAGAATGAATGCTAAAGCAAATGTGTTAAAATGTTAACATTTGGGAAATCTGGGTAAAGAATATGTAGGAATTCTTTGCATACGTTTCACAGCTTTTCTTGTAAGTTGGAAATTATTTCAGAATAATTTTTTTAAAGTACTGGTCTACTCTGGGACCTGAGTTCTGCTTGGACTTTCATCTTTGATAGATCAAAGATGACATTATGAGGGTCTTACATACCTCCATTTGACCCAAGGGAGATGAAGACTCAGCAGAGCCCAGGAAGAGTACAGAGCTTACAAGCAGAACAGGGCCTCTGAGGTCAGGCTGCCTGGGTTGCAGTCCTGGCCTGCAGCTTCTAAGGGCCCTGAGCTATGTAAGTAACCCTTCAGGGTTGTTGAAAGGATTAGGTGAGACCAGGGATAAACTCAGCACAGTTCCTGGCCCATCGTGAGTCCTCCATCAATGTCGTTATTGTTATTATTGCCTCCTCAGTCATCTTATAAGTGAGAAGTAGTGTCTTGTGTTCGGCTTCCAGACACTGATTTGGACAGTTGTCTTGGTGCCACCTCCCTGACGTGCGTTTTTGTTCCCACGAAGGCAGGGTGGCCACTGCAGTGGGTGCGGATGTGCCTGACGAGATGAAGGGCCGAATCCCTGTGGTGCTCCTGGCCTGTGGCTCCTTCAACCCCATCACCAACATGCACCTGCGCTTATTTGAGGTGGCCAGAGACCACCTGCACAAAACAGGTCAGTCAGGGGGCCAGGTCCAATGAAGAACTGGTGGGTTGGACCTCACGGAGCTTTGCTGGCTGCTGTCATCATCACCATTATTAAAACTGCTCGGTTTATTCATTCACAACATAACTGGTGGCATACATGTCCTCCATCATATTCTGAGGGCTAATGCCCCTTAGCCGTGTGACAAGAACAAGTCATATCCCTGACCGTAAAGTTGAGCCCTTCTCAGCGTTCCCCCACCCCCTGCCCACCTCATGTTGTCCATGGAGGCTAAAGACACTGGGCATGTTATAGAACTTGTGTCTCTCTCAGGGCATCCTTCCTGGTGCTCCCAGAAAGCACTTACCTACACAGCCAGATGAATAGGTAGCATGTGCCTTTGAGAACGGCTGCTACTCTTCAGTGGGAAAGCAAACATTATACAGTTGACCCTTAAACAATGCAGGGGATAGGCACGCTGAACCCCCAAGCAATTGAAAATCCACGTATATCTTCTGACTCCTCAAAAAGTTAATCTTCTCTTGGTATTCATGGGAGATTGGTTCCAGGACCCCCGTGGATACTTAAATCCATGTAGCCTCAGGTCCTTTATATAAAATGACATAGAATAATGCAGAAAATACTATCTTCAACCCACGGTTGGTTGAGTCTATGCATATGATATCCACAGATGCAGAGGGCAGACTGTATATTTATTCAGAAAAATCCACGTATAAATGGACCCATGCAGTTCAAACCCATATTGTCCAAGGGTCAACTGTATAATGGGGATTTTGACGTTTTCTCCTTTGAAAGAATAGATCTTAGATGATCACAAATTAACAATCTTGTGTATAGGGCATTTCCAACACAGATAACATGGCTTTGCCAGAAATATTTAATCTGAGACTGTTTCATCTCCTTGACTATCCATTTCATTATTAAGAAAGTAAAATGGCATTTGGAATCAGCATGATTATTTCTAAAGAATACAAGTCATTTATATATTGGTGTCAGATATATATGAAAGCATTTATCTATTATGTGTTTATGTATATCTTATATATTCATATATGTATTTTGTATTTTTATATTGTTCAAAAGTGTTTGTCTTTGAGGCCTTGTTTTTACACCAGAATCACTTCTTATTTACTTTTAATATAAAAAAAGTATTTGAGTAGTATGTAAATCATTTCTTCAAAGAAATTATATACAAATGTTAGTTTATTTTAAAGGAAATGCCTTTGTTTACAAAACATTTTTTGTTATTCAAAAAGTAAAAGAGGGTGTCTATCCTTAGTAAATAAATAGTTCTTTCAGAGGAATAAAACAATCCAAACAATTCCACTAAAACTTGTCAGTGAACATTAGTAGGCAATATACCAAAGAAGAAATGTAAATGGTCAATAAATTTTGGAAAAGATGCTCAGCATCACTAATAATCAATGAAAATGCAAATAAAAACATGTTAAACACCATAAGGCTATACGCACCATGAGGACAGCTGCTGTGGCCGCTCGAGCACCACAGAATTGCCACCACTGGACTTGTAGTTGGTGCTCAATAAATATCTGTTGTGGGAGTAAATAGTTTTAGCTTATGAGATTGGCAAAGATTAAAGACTGACAAAATTCAGTGCTGGCAGGATAGGGAGGGAAGTAGACTCTCTCATATATTAGTAGTGATAGGATAAGTGATTTTTGGAGGGCAATTTGCACCCCTGTGACAAAAAAATTAAAGTCTGTACCAATACCTATAATGAGGAGAAAAATCAATCAATACTGAAGAACAGACACAGTTGTTAGAACTAGCAGACAAGGACATTAAAACAGTATGTTTTAAAATTAAGTCAAGACATGGAAAAGATGAAAAAGACTCAAATATCTAGAGATGAAAACTAAAACGCATAAGATGAAAAATACGCTGAATGGGATTAACAACAGATTAAACATTACAGAAAGAAAGGCTTGTAAACTTGAAGATATAGCAATAGAAACAATCTAAAGTGACTCAGAGAGAGAAAAAAAGAATTTTAAAAAAGAAAGAAAAGAATATCAGTGCGTTATCAGACAACTTATAGTATATTAATATATTTGTAATTGGAATCTCAGAAGGAAAAAACAAATAACAGGAAAAGATATTTGAAGAAATAATCACTGTAATTTATGACAACAGAGGCACAAATAACAAAAGAAAAAATAGACAAAGTCAACTTTATGAAAATTTAAAAGTTTTGTGCATCAAAAGACACCATCAACAGAGTAATAAGGGAACCCACAGAATGGAAGAAAATATTTGCAAATCATATCTACTAAGAACATAATATCCAGAATAGAGAACTCATAAAACTCAACAATAAAAAATAACTAACCTGAACCTGATTCAAAAATGGGCAAAGGACTTGAATAGACATTTCTCCAAAAAAGATACACAAATGGCCAAGAAACACATGAAAAGATGCTCAACATTACTAATCACTAGGGAAATGCAGGTCAAATGAAAATGAGATTCCACTATTCACACATTAGGATGTCTACTATCAAAAACGAAAAAAACAAAAAAAACACCAGAAAACAAGTGTTAGTGAGAATGTAGAGAAATTGGAACCCTTGGGCACTCTTGATGGAAATGCAAAATTGTGGAAAACAGTTTGACATTTTCTCAAAAAATTAAAAGTAAAATTTCCGTATGATCCAGCAATTCCACTTGAGTATACCCCCAAAAACTGAATACCCCATCTCAGAGATATTTGTACACCCATGTTTATAGCAGCATTATTCACAATAGCCAAAATGTGGAAGCAACCCAAGTGTCCATTGATAGATGAATAGATAAGCAAAATGTGGTATATACATACAGTGGACGACTATTCATCCATCAAAAGGAAGGAAATTCTGTAATATGATATAATATGAATGAACCTTGAGGACATTATGCTAAGTGAAATTAGCCAGTCAGAAAAAGACAAATACTGTATGATTCCACTAAATAGAGACCGAAAGTAGAATGGTGGTTGCCAAAGGGTGGAGGGGGTGGAGGGTGGGGGGTGGGAAATGGGGAGTTATTGTTTAATGGGTATAGAGTTTTAGTTTTACGAGATGAAAAGAGTTATGGAGATGGATGATGGTGATGGATGCACAACATTATGAATGTATTTAAAACCAGTGGACTGACATAAAATTGTTAAGATGGCAAATTTTGTTATGTATATTTTACAATTTTTAAAAAACTGCTTCCTGCCCCGTACACACACACACACACACACAGACACACACACACACACACACAAAGGGTGTCATTTATAAACTCTACCAAACATTTAAGGAAGAAATAATACCAATTGTATACAAACTCTTCCAGAAAATCAAAGAAGAGAGACTATTTCATAACTCTATCTATGAGGCAAGTATTGACCTGATATCAAAGCTATATACCAGTATTCCTCATGAACATAGATTTTTAAAATTTTAAACAAAATATTTCAAAAATATCCAACAATACATGTAAGTGATAATATATCATTACCACGTTATGTTGTCCCAGAGATGCAAGTTTAATTTTAACTCCCCAAAATCAATGTAATTCATTATATTAATAAACTAAAAAGGGAAAAACGTATATCTCAACAGACACAGAAAGGGCAATTGTCAAAAGCCAGCATCCATCCCTGATATTAAAAAAGAAGAAGAAAACAAAAGCACTCAGTAAACTAGGAATAGAAAGTAATTTTCTCAGCCCCCCCCAAAAGACATCTATGAAAAACCTAAAATTAATACCTTAATGATGAAAGACTAAATGTTTTACTCCTAAGATCAGGAACAAGGTAAGATGTACATTCTTACCACTTCTAATGAACATTGTACTGGAGGTTCTAGCCAAGAAGTAAGGCAAAAAATAAAGAACATCTAGATTGAAATGGAAAAAAAAAAAACGTATTTATATATGATATAGTCATCTATGGAGAAAATTCATAAAAATCTACAAAAAAGCTCCTAGAACTCTAATTAGGTGAGTTTATAAGGTTGCTGGATACAAGATCAATATATAAAAATCAATTGTTTTTATATAGACAAGCAACAAAGTATCATAAAATCTTAAAATAATACTGTTTACAATTGCATAAAAATACTTAGAGATAAATCAGGCAAGAGTGTTCAAGACCTATACACTAAAATGTACAAAACATTGTTGAGGTAAATTAAAGACAACCTAATTTAAATGGAGAGCTGTAACTTGTGTTGTGCATTGGAAGACTCAACAGTGTTAAGATTTCAATTCTCCTCAAACTTATCTATAGATTCAACTCAGTCCCAATAGGCTTTTTGGTAGAAATTGGTAAGCTGATTCTAAAATTCATATGAAAATACAAATGAGCTAGAATAGCCAAAATAACTTTGAAAAAGAGGAACAAAGTTGGAGAATTAATACTACCTGATTTCAAAACTAATTATAAAGCTACAGGACTCATGACATTGTGGTATTTGTGGAAAGATAGTTAAATACAGAATAGAGAGCACCAAACTTGACCCCTACTTTCATAGACAACTGATTTTTGACAAAAGTGCAAAGGCAATGCAGTAGAGAAAGGATAGTCTTTTCAAAATTAAATGGCGCTGAAACAATTGGATATCCATATGCAAAAAAAAAAAAAAGAAAGAAAGAAAGAAAGCACTTTAATCCATAGCTTATAACATATACAAAAACTAACTCAAAATGGATCATAAACTTTGAAGTAAAACCCCAAACTATAAAATTCTAGAAAATCTTTGTGACCTTAGGTTAGGTAAAAATACCTTAGATAAAACACTACCAAAAGTATGATCCAAAATAGATTTAAAAAAAAGATAAGCTAGACTTCATCAAAATTAAAAGTTTCTACCCTTAAAAGACTCTAATAGAATGAAAAGACAAGCCACAGACAGGGAGAAAAAATTTGTAAAGCATATTTCTAATAAAGGACTTGTATCTAGAATGCATAAGGACCTCTCAATTCAATTTAAAAAACCCAAATAAACTCAATAAAAAATGGG